CTTCGGATGTTGCTTATCTCCTCAGATAGGGTATCTTCTTTGCATATTCATCTCGTTCTCAGTGAGGCAACGGACTAGGTTACGCTTCTGACTGCTTGGATCGAAACTATAAAAGTGGGTGTATTGCCCATTCCAAGTTCCCTTTCTGTCTGCTCTCCTCCGTATTGTCCCGTCTGTTGCCCTATTAATCTGGACGTCTAGAAAGGCCAAGGAGTCATCACTTTCTAGTTCGAGAGTAAACGTTGTGTTGTTGTGCGCGGAGTTGGTGGGCCAGCATATCTTCAATGCACACTCCATCGCAATACAAAAGATGTCATGTACATATCGACCATAATAAACCAAATTATTGATGATCTTCTTCAATTGGTCGCTCTCCAATTTGCTGAGGAACACGTCCGCGAGTAACGGGCCTAATGTCGAACCCATGGTCACCCCATCTATTTGTCGGTGCAGTGATCCATTAAACTGAATCTGGATGTTTTTCGTGCATGTCAGTAATAGTTGTCTTAATCGATATGGCGGGATACCGACGTTGATGTTGTGCAACTGGATGAACTGACATAGATAGTCTACAGTCTCTTGCAGTAGAACATTGGTGAAAAAATATACCACGTCTAATGAAAACATTTTCCGCCCGGTTAGTTCACGGTGTCTCACTGAGTCGAGAAACTCAAAAGTGTCCTTGAGACAGTACCTGGCTATAGCTTTTCGGACTGGTTCCAGCTGTTTGGCCCGCCACTTGGCGGTCGAATGGTACGGTGACTTTCGCATATCTAGTATTGGCCTTGTAGTGGTAGCCCTTCCTTATGCACCTTGGGCAGGCCGTAAAGTCTTGGAATCACCGTTCCACTCGGCCTGGTGTATTCGAATACATCAGAGTCGATGATATTTTCTTGTTTTAAGCAACGCAAAAGTTTCGTTATGGACTTCTCAATTGCCTGCGTCTTGTCATTCTCGTTAGGCACTCTTCGAAACTTCGATCCATCATTACATATGGCATGCGTCTTTCTGATATAGTCTGACTTATTCATCAGAACGCCCCCAGCCCCTTTATCCCGTCTAGACAACAGTACGTGCTAGTTCGGCTTGAGTACTTTGAGGACGTCTAGATATCCCTTCTTTAAAATGGGCTTGGCATATGGTTTATAACTTAGATATTCGTAACAGGTAGTGACAAATGTCGATGTATACTGTTCAGCTACCAAGTCTGAAGACGGCGTAAGTGTAGCTAATTGGAAATATAGATTTTCAAATTGAACCTCTAAATCTAACTGTTTAACGTGATTTCGTGGGCAACAGAATTTCGGACCAAACGAAAGAGCCTCGAGTAGAACCTCGTCTAATTGCAGTGAGGAGAAATTAGGAACGTATTTTTCAGGATCAGATGCAAACAAGTGCAGTGGCTTGCTCGCATTGAGCTGCGTCTGCAGTGAGGTCATGCTTAATTCCACCTGCCGTGCAACGATGTGCTGAACGTAGGATTCAAATGCATCGTACATCTCAACACAGATTCTACAGTGCGACAGAAGAAACGCAGCGGTTAAGCTCGAGCTCTTCAATTTGATAAAAACCAAACCTTGTTCATTCGTGTGTGACTTTTCGACGCAGTATTAGTCGGATTAATCAATATGCGCCGAAGAAGTTTATAAAAATGCTTAGGATACTCGCATTGTAAAATTGCCTCATCGAGAAACTGCACGGACGCTTTCACTGCCGCCAAGTTAATTTGGCGGATGAAGAAAGGGAATTACAGCTCTAATCACTCTAACAAATAACATGTGAAACAGAGCATGAAACATCAACATCAGCATGTTAATCGCTAGCCAGTTACTTGCTGGGACTGTTCACTTTCCACCTATGTTCCGGAGCGATTTATCTTTGAATGCATGGTCCAACTTGGACATGTCCATCAGATTGTACATTTGCCACCAAAGCGAGGAAGCATTGCTTTTGCATATTGTAATAGGTAAAATGCTTGGAGGCTATGGTACTGGTAAGGTACGATAAAATAAGGTAACATGAGTTAGGTCACTGTAGCCCAACTGCGGTGAAGAAGCATGGTATATGCAACATCAAACCTCATCATAGGGGCACTCGTATGTGGGCATCTGTGTTCTTATTACCAGTAGGGCAAATACAGTGCGCCTGCGTCTTTGCAGAAACTATGGGTGGTTATCGTTGCGTTGCAACACTCGATGAATTAGTGCAGTATCAGTGCAAAAGTCCTCGCCTCCGATGTTGGGAGAGAGCGGGGATTCCGTTCTGACTCACCTTGCTCCATAGTGTTTGGCCGATTTAACGTGCACCGTCCCTTCTCAGTTGCGTACCACCAAGGGCCACATGTCAGTCCGTGGTGCTGGGTCTCACAGTCGGCCTGTTCGGCCTAGCCCCATCGTGGCCTTGTTGGTGACTAGCTGGGCTAAGGCACACACGGCCGCGTGCACTACAGTTCCATGTGAGAGTAGCCGAAGAATCGTAGTCCGCCGGTGGCTGATGCTTTCGTACTGCATGTTTAATTTCCCGATGAACCAGCTGTCTTCATTGCGTTTGGGCAACGGTACGCGTGATGAGATCACGCCAGGTGCGGCGATTCGTTGCCACCTGCTCCCAACCCTTTAGGTCTATTTTTACTCGGGACGAACTAACCTTGATGTTGTCTTGGTAGCGCAAGTTTGGTTTGTTGCGTCCCGGCTGCCTGCGCTCAGTTGTCCATACAACAGTTGCTTCGGGATTCTCGTCGCATCCATACGGCGCACATGTCCAAGTCACCGGAGGTGTCGCAGCAGTAGCATGTAGTCTATGGTGTACACTTTGCCCGGCGGATCACATCAGTGTCCCACCAGTGAATGTGCAGAATCCTGCTAAGGCACTGTTGATGGAATCATTTCAGAAATCGGATATCCTTTCTGTACAGTGTCCACGTTTCCGATCCATAGGTAAGGACCGAGAGAATCATTGATTTGTACACCATCATCTTGCTTTTAACAGTGAGGTAATGATTCTTCTACGCACGATGTTCCAGTTTCCCAAAGCCGCATTTGCCTTCGATACACGAGCGCGCACTTCATCGGTGATCGGCAGCTCGGTTGACAACGTGCTTCCGAGGTGGCAGAATGCTGACGTCTTTTGTAGTACTTCACCTGCAATCCGTATTTCTGGCCTGAACATGGGCACCACTCCCGATGCCGGCTGAAATAGGCATACATTCTTGCTGGTGTTTATGCTGAGTCCAGACTTGGTCGCCGTGGTAGCTAATGCAGTCGTCATGCATTGCAGTTCTTCCTCAGTATGTGCAAACAACGCACAGTTGCCAGCAAACAGTAGCATACGGATGGTTGTCTCACGCATTAGGCTTATTTCTCCAAAGCGGCGGATCTTATGCCAATCTTCATCCATGCCGTGCTCCAGATGCACACCGTATTCACACCTGTTGTATGCGCACGACATCACAGCAGTGAGATAGATATTGGACTGTGGGTGCTAAGACGCATCCTTGTTTCACACCGGCGATAATGGCAAAGTCACCTAGTCTGTCCACTCAGCTGCACCCTCCATCACATACCACTGTGCAGGCATTCAATCAAACGAATAAACTTTGCAGGGCATCCAAACTTTGAGAGAATCAGTCACAAGGCATCACGGTTCACCGTATCGAACTCTTTGGTGAAGTCGAGGATGAGCGAATACAACTGTTCCTTGCGTTCACGACATTTTACCTGTGGTTGATGTGCTGCAAACACCATGTTGATGGTGCTTCGGCCCGATCGGAACCCACATTGTTCCTCAGCTACATTCGGTTCCAGTATATATGTCGTCAGGGGATTGAATAGGATGCGCGCAAAAATCTTGCCGACGCAGCTGAGTAAGTTGATACCACGATAACTGTTGGTGTGTTGCTTACTATCCTTTCCGTTGTACATTGGAAGCACAAGAGCATCCTTCAAGTCTTCAAGCACTTGCTCTTCCATCCAGACGGCTTCCACCAGAGGATGGAGTACGCGCATCACAACTGGTCTTCCGTTCTTCAGTATTTCCGGAGGTATGCCATCAGCACCAGCGCATTTTCAATTCCGAGAAGTTCCAATTCGACCTGGAGCACGCCAGCATCCTTGGAAGGGCCAAAAGCCGGCCAGCACGTGAGTTCATTGAATTCTGGCATTGAAAGCAGAACTCGGTCAATAAGCACTTGAACATTGAAGTCGCTTACGAGGCACTGCGAACCAGGCCTCTGAAGCCGCGCTGATGATGTTGCATTGTCTGACAGCGAAACGTCTGCAAAATTATCATTCAGCTCGGAGAATAGCTCAAAGCTCGCATTTATCGCGGAGCTTGATTCAGTGAACGGATGCTGTTCTTGGCTGTAGTCGTACGTTGGTGAAGCATTTTTGTTCAACAGACGCCAAATTTTGACCGACTGAGCTGGTTGGTCGTTAATTTGAGCCTCATCAGTAGTTGGAGGCTTTTTGGAGATGACGTAACCGCGGGATCAGTGGAATTCTTGCGTTCTTTCTCCTGTGTCTAGCCGTTACTATTCCATCCTGATTAATTTCACCCAATTTTCCTAGCCCATTTACATTCTGTTTGTCTTATGATGCAAAAAAGCACTAGCATACACCGTCACACCGTGTCGATGCTTCACCGCCTCGCGTCCATCACCGGTCGCGCGTGCGGCTGCGAATACCGCTTGGTCATCTGCAGATTCCAACCGGTGACCCCCGGATTACAAAGCAGGCGCGTAATCCTTTCGGTCACTGGCACATGCAAGTCACACCAACCGGATCCACTGCACTTCGATGCTTGCATCATAGGTGTTCTGCTTAACCCTGTCGTTAACTCATGGATCTTATCTATCCTTCTACATTCAAATTCCCGTCGGTTTGCTTGAGTGCCTTGGTGAATCTCCAAGTCATTTGTAGGCGCATTCCTTTACTTCTTTATTGTCCTATGCTGCCAGTTCACCTCTCATTGTCTTTATGTCTCCGTTCACTTCCATTTTCTAGGTCAGCTTCGAAGCGTCTTGCATGATCCAGCTATGCGGCGATGTATTGCGTGCATTTATAACGCAGGTATTGCCGGACATTTGCCCTCCTGTCAGCGATCCGAATTCAGCTGAACATATATTTAGCCAGTCCTTCCATCGGGCTGTCCAGTTAGGTTCCTTCGACACTCCTCGCTGGCCACCATGTCAGTTAGCCTCTACCGATCTACAATCAGCATCAATGGATTCTCCGCTTAGCCATGCCTGTGCTCGGCTCACAATGATGCAATACGCGGAGCACATCAATACCGTCCGTCGGATTTCGAGACAAAGCATTCACCCCAACTTTGGTCCACCTAGTTCGACACAGTATGCTTCGACTTCCGTACCCGCATCTCCCATCATCACGTCTGCCCCTCGAACATCCTCCGCCTCAGGAGCTCCGAGCTAACGTTTGTTCGAAATCATCGAATCACTCTGTTTATTCTCATGCCTGTTAATAAAACCAGTTCGTGACGTTCTCCTTTTTCAAGCCGGTGTCGGGATTCCACCATTTGTTGTTTCATTCTGGTAGACCGTCTCGTTTACACCGTGTATTTTTAAACTGTGCATTGCGGAGTATTGCACATTGTCCATCCCGTCTGCTCTATTTTTCTTCAGCGTTCCCGAGATAGCAGTGTTGATGGCTCACGACGAACGAAACTCTGTTGACGATCTCAACAGTAAGGGTGAGGTAAATCACGGTGGAGGGTCTATTAAAACGTTCATCTTTTCTTATTGCACCCTCCATTCATGCAATCGGTTCATATCGCACGTTTTTTTTCTTTTTACAGTCGCGTACAGACATGTTAGGTCTCTTTAGAACACTTTGTTGATTCACACTGATGATTTAGGCGTTTGGCTCATCTTTACTGCGTCCCTGCTACTGCATGAATTTGGGTGCCCATAAAGTATCCCAGCTCGTGTACAGCTCCTTTCGGCTGCGTATCCATCATTATATAGATACCGACATATTTTCCTTCATCCTTTACAACCTGTCAACATGAGAGACATCATTGTATTTAAGTTGGTTGCAATATTGCGGAGTAAGGCTGGATCAGCGACTCAAACTGGGACTGTTACCGTAAGTTGTTCGTCACCTATTCACGTCAGTCTATTTTTCTGCTGATGCAGGTACAATTTCCCAGAAATATCAACCAGTTGGCCACATGCGATTTTCTGCTGATTCTAATATGTTTTGCGGCACCCTCCCTCATTAATCTATCTGCCAGTATATTTGACGCAGCATTCATCTTGTGCACACTAGCCCACGATGTCATGATATGGTTGGTATCTCTTCACGGAGGTTACTTGCTCTTGTGGTCATCTCTGTTACACCCACCCACACACACTTCGCTCTGCCACGGATCGTAACATAACCAGGACACGTCCTATCGCCTCAAGCCAGCACTCCAAATTGGTGGTTGTTTTTTTATAATTTTCAAGTGAATGGGTGCTACTTATGAGTTCCTATATGACGTGATGCTTTCTCCCTGCATGCAGCCACGACGGGTCTCATTACCACTTGCCTTTCTCATGTCTTGTCGAGCTCAGCGAACCCGTTTCTGTGTTCACTTACACAAAGTTGAAATCCATAGATGCCTCCAAATAGAACGGTTAGCAGTTAGTGCTTTCTCTTCACATATGGTCGATGCTCACAATCCTACGCTTGCTCCATTTTTGACTAATCTGATAAACTCTAATGGACCACGTATCTCAGTTAGACTACCCCCCGCTTTTATTTGTTACGTTTGCCTCCGACTATTTGGATTGCAACGTTTTATTTTAACTCCAATTCGCTGTCATAAGCTCCCAGCATATGGAGAACTCCGGACGAAAGTGTGAAGTCTCCTGTGCAAGGGGACTGTAAGCTCATTCACATAGATATGCTTGAGGCGGATACCCAACAGTTGACTTCTTACGCATCCTTGAAGCTTTCCGCTATGCGATTTTGGACATTTGGCTTTCGTTTGTTACGCAACCATTCCTTCTGTTGGCATTAGTAACTCCTCCCACTGTGTGGGTGCTGGGACTTGGTTTGCAACACTTTGCTAGCCAATGCGCTCTGGTCAACGTTGTAATGCAGTGTGAGCTGACGAATACAATCTTTTCGGTGGCCTCCTACTGTTAGCAAACACCAAAGCAGAGGGCGGATTCTAAGGTGAGTTCTTTTAAGTAGCTCTTGTCGGACTCAAATGTTAAGATGCCGAATTCGCCAAATCGGATTAACTATTGATTACGATGTTTTATTCAACAGTCGAGTCAATCGATCACGCTGACACTGTAGGTAGTAGGATGCGTAGAAGTTAAGATACTTTGGTACATCATTTTCACAACGCATCAACGGATGAGGCAACAATCGGGTGAGTAAGTAATATCAGTTCTTTATCACGTTAGAAGTAACAGGCGCACGAATTACTTTTCTACGCACAGTCCCCTATCAACGTGACGGATGTACGTAACTTCGGCAATAGATAGGAGGTGCTTTCGAATGTAGTAGATGCCTTTGAAACCGTCTTCAGAGTCTGTAGCCGTGCTCGAAGTGTTGCGATATGATGGAGTTACTAGAAGACTTCGCTATACCTCCGTAAAGCCACTCGGCTATGTGTTCACGAATCTTGTGAGGTAGATGTCTCCTAGCGCGACTCACGTATCTTACACCTTAGGAGCACGGGTACCGATAAACATGCATCGATTGAGTCAACAGGCGCAGTTCACTCTTCAAAGATTTTGCGTGCAAGGACTTGTTGGTATTCGCTTATACCAATGACAATTTGTTCTTGGTACCATGTTTTCTTTAACTAATATGTTGTCAGGACACAGACGAGCACCGACCTATCGGAAAGCTAGTGAGATGCGGTAAATTGTTTGTTAGATTCCATACCATTTAGTGTCCTACTTCCCTCGGTTTTGTGAGATAAGGTGTGTACACTCCCACATCTACATCCAAATTATTCTTCTATTGTATGTGGTGTAGAAGTTGTGATATAACACTATGGGTTCTTCAGCTATCTTGTGGACCGTCCCGCGTTGAGCGCCATTATGAATGAATAAGTGCATTTTTGTTTACTACAGACCTCGCGAGTTATTCGTTGGAGTAAGTCTGAAAGCTGAACGCCACGCTGAACAAAGATCCATAGGCTTTTCCTGCGATTTTGCACCACTGTTTTCTGTCATCACTAGCGTCCTCATTCATAACAAGGATGTTTAGTTTCCTGGGTAGTATGATTTCAAGAATGCGTTCTTCACCCTGCGTCTGGAACATTTTCGCTAGCAGGTGGCATTTTAAAGGTCCCTCACTCAAGGACAAGCTATTTTTCAGCGAGAAAAAGTATTGGAAATTGATCGCAGACTCCACCCGCAAGACGTCTCGGTATACATTGTTCAGTCAATACCATGAACAGAGACGTTTGGGTCCATGGGATCTCTTTTCACTCGGTTAGGCAATCAACGAGGAGTTCACTGTAACGCACACAAATATCAGTCAGCAACCAGAGTCTCGTAGATGAGCATCTATGCAAATTGCGTGCAATAACGATGCGTAAGGTCTGCTTCCTAACAACTGTCAGCTTCATTTCTCTGTTCCGGTCTTACACACATCACAATCTCTGCTTTTTCGTATCCTTCGACTTCCACGTTGCCAAACATTCCGTACGCTTTGACAATGCATGTTACCATTGCTGCACTGCCATTGTCACCTTCTCGTCACACGCTGTAGGATTATTTGCTCCAATTTCACCTGCTTGTCATTATTGTCCAGATTGTACTCGGTTTTTTCTCATTACCTTCCCTAAAGTATTGACTACGCATGAACTTCCATATACACTCCGAACTATGGATATTGGTTGAAACCGTACTTCCCCTCTAATGTCGGTTCAACTAGTGTCCGCTTACAACGATCATAGTTTCGTTTCTTCATCGTTTTGTAGCTGTACATGTGGCCAAATCGGATGTAAAAGTGCGACCATACAAACATCAGAATCCTTGTCCTTCTGCTGTGTAGACACTACATATCTTTGACCAATATCCGGCAAACGAGTTCTACGATTCTCCGAAACTGTAACGTACAGGTTATTGTTAGTGGTGCTAACAAACACTGCTAATTGGGGTCACAATTTGGCACGTGCGGAACTACAGTTCACGGTAGAACACGGTATTCGGTTCGCAAAACAACAGAACATGCTCGTTTCGGCAGTACGCAAAATATATACTCAGACTTGCATCGAATACAACGCTTCACACGTTTTCATTCGATGATTAGCTTGACGACAAACTGATGCCTAACACCGGTAAGCCGAGGCAACAGGAAACAATTGAGGACCGCTCAATAAATGGTTGACTTGGTACTATATATATATATATATATATATATATATATATATATATATATATATATATATATATATATATATACGCATGCCCCATACTGAGGCTGATGTTGCATTCATGATGCTTCTTCACCGCAGTTGGGCTACACCTACTTAAACTTAAACTAGGTCTTTTTAAGCTGGATAAATTTCATTCCGCTTTATTTGGTTTGTTCTGCCTACCTGAATAATCTTCTATTAACTGGCCGCGTTGCTTACGCTAATCGAGCTTATCTTCGGTAACTTTGTTGCGTTTGTAGCATTTTTAAGTAACTTTTTCGCTATCGCGGATTCGTTGCTAACCAACTTACTTCATATGCTAAATTAGAGAAGAGTTGTGCAAACAAGTTACCGAAGCTAAGCGCAATTAGCGTAAGAAACATGGCCAGCTAATAAAAATTGTTCAGGTAGGCAAAATAAACCAAATAAAGTGGAATGCAATTTATCCAGCTTAAAAAGACCTAGTTTAAGTTCTTGGGTTCAATTGTTCGCCAAGTTCGTAATTGATGTGCAAAAGTTTCATCACCACACGAAGTGACT